AAAAGCAAAACAAAAAGGACCAAGTACACATGAGAGAGGAAGATAGATTGTCTAACGGTGTGTCTGAACTAATATTCTCAACTGTTGTATTTGAAGCAAACATGGTGGACAATTCGAGAGAATGGTTTGTTGATATGGCGCTGCTCGTCACGTTTGTGCTGATAAGGAGGTGTTTTCATCTTACACTCCTATCAATGAACGACACTATTCATGGGCAACTCAACAACATCAAAAATTGTTGGTCTAGGTTAAGTAGTGCTGAAGATGACACTAGGGAAAGAAGTAACACTCCCGATATTCGCAAAAACTTGGTATCTGGAGTTTTGTTAAGCAAGAATGGGTTTAGGCTAGTATTTGAATCTGACAAGTTTGTACTCACCGAAAATGACATATTTGTAGGCAAATGATACTTAGCCAATGGGCTATTCAAAATGAATGTAATGCTTGTACTCCATGATTTTGATATTAATAAAAATAAATCTTCTGCTTACTTGATTGAGTCTTCTAACTTATAGCATGATATGTTAGGACATGTAGATGTAAATACTTAACGTAAATTAGTATGTTTAGATTTATTAACTCCTATTTCATTTGATCAAAATCATCGATGTGAAATATGTGTAGATACTAAATTAGCTAAAACACTGTTTCGTTCAGTTGAAAAGAACTCGAATCCTCTAAAACTAAGTCACAGTGATATTTGTGATTTAAAGTTTGTGCAAACTAGAGGAAGTAAAAAATATTTTATTACTTTTATAGATGATTGCACAAGGAACTGTTATGTTTATATGCTAAGAAGCAAAGACGATGCCTTAGAAGCATTTAAATAGTACAAGAGTGAGGTTGAAAATCAACTAAACAAACGAATAAAAGTTGTTCGTATTGATAGAGGTGGAGAATATGGAGCATCATTTGAAGAATTTTGTTCAGATTCTGACATTATTCATCAAACTACAACTCCTTATTCACCTCAGTTGGATGGTTTGCGGAACGCAAAAATCGTACTCTGAAAGAAATGGTGAACGTTATGTTGATTAGTTCTAATTTACCTCAAAATTTGTGGGGGAAACAATTCTTTCAGCTAACCACATTCTAAATAAATTATCACACAAAAGTAGGTATGAAACTCCTTATAAGTTATGGAAATGTCATAAACTTTCGTACAAATATTTAAAAGTGTGGGGGTGTTTGGCTAAGGTAAAAATACCAAATCTAAACAAGTTAAAATAGGGCCTAAGACCATCGATTGTATATTCATTGGATATGCTAATAGCAGTAGTGCTTATCGGTTCCTCGTACATAAGTCGGACATTCCGAATGTACATGAAAATACAATCATCGAATCTAAAAATGCTGTATTTTCTGAGGACTAGTTTCCTTGTAAGGATAGGAAAGAGATAAATTCACAAAAACGAATTTATAATAATGCAATTGGTAATTATCAAAGTGATGAAGAATCAGGACGAAGCAAAAGGACCAAAACATCTACATCTTTTTGTTCAGATTTTTTAACTTATTTGTTAGAAAATGAACCTAGGACATTCAGTGAAGCAATGTCTAGTCCAGAAGCTCCATTCTGGAAATAGGCTATCAATAGTGAAATTGAATCTATTATACAGAATCATACCTGAGAGTTGGTAGATCTCCCACCTAGTAACATATCGTTAGGTTGTAAATTGATTTTCAAAAGAAAATTAAAGACAGTTAATAAATATAAGGCCAGATTGGTAGTTAAAGGATTCAAATAAAAAGGAGGCCTTGATTTTTTTCAATACACACTCACCTGTAACAAGGATAACATTAATTAAAGTATTAATTGCAATCGTAGCATTGCATAATTTGAAAATCCATCAGATAGATGTCAAAACAGCTTTCTTAAATGGTGAGTTAGAAGAAAAAAATTATATGGAATAACTCGAAGGGTTCATTGCTCCTGGATAGAAGAAAAATTTGTGTAGGCTTGTTAAGTCATTATATAGACTAAAATAAGCGCCAAAACAATGGCATGCAAAATTTGACCAAACTATGTTGTCAAATGGTATTAAGATTAATGAGTGTGATAAATTATATTTATATTAAAATCACACCTAATGCATATAAAATTGTATGTCTATATGTTGATGATATACTAATTATGGGTAGTAATTATGCTATCATAACAAATATCAGGAAAATGTTGGCAAAATATTTTGAAATGAAAGATATGGGTAATGCAGATGTAATATTAGAAATTAAAATCCTTAAAGCATCTGAGTGACTTGTCTTATCTCAATCTCACTATGTTGAGACTGTACTTAAGAAGTTTCATATATGTGATGAAAGTCCTGTTAAAACACCGGTAGACTTAAGTCTACATTTGGCCAAACATAAAGGCGAACCCGTATCTTAATTAGAGTACTCTCGGATAATAGGCAATTTAATGTATATTACAAACTGCACTCATCCGGATATTGCATATACAGTAAATAAACTTAATATATATACAAATAACCTAAATAATGACCATTGAAAGGCATTGATAAGGGTTCTTAGATATCTACGATAAACCTCAAATATTGGATTGCATTATGCTAGATATCCAATTGTATTAGAAAGATACAGTGATGCTAATTGGATATTAGACACAAAAGACTCAAAATCCACTATGGATTGCATTATACTAGATATCCAATTGTATTAGAAAGATACAGTGATGCTAATTGGATATTAGACACAAAAGACTCAAAATCCACTAGCTCGATCCACGATGTAATCTGAGTTCATAACTTTAGATAAAGCTGTGAGGAAGCAGAATAGCTTCGAAATTTTTTAGAGTATATTCCATGTTAGCTTAAACATGAGCTTGCAATTAGTATACATTGCGATAGTCAGTCGGCTATTGATAGAGCACAAAGTAGTATGTATAATGGTAAGTCTCAACATATTTGTCGAAGACATAATACAATTAAGCAATTGATCTCAAATGGTGTTATTTCTATAGATTATTTAAAATCTAGAGAAAATCTCACAGATCCGCTTACCAAAGGCTTACCAGAGATCAAGTATATTGTCCATCAAGCGGAATGAGCTTAAAACCTACTACGTAAGAATCTTTGTCATGGTAACCTAATCTTGCTGACTGAAGATCCCAAGATTTTGGTTCAATGGGGCAACTAAGTTATGAAGATTTAAAGAAGCACTTTAGAGTTAACTCCTACCCATTCCTACGATAAGCAAGTGTTATCTGCAGAAAGTTTTAGGTTAAGTTATATTTTTAATGATTCCTATATCTTAGATTATCTAAGTGGGGTATGACATGTACTCTTAATAGGAGATCACTTATATAAGTGTGAAGTGTGATCGTTTCTATGAGAATGTTTCAAATGCTTGAATTTTCTAAAGCATTTATGAAATCCAAGAGTTGTTCGGGGACAAAATGAACACAACAGTGAGAACTTGAAAATGTTAGGGAGGTTATTGTGTTGATACTATTGTCTTGGTTTACACTAATGGGCTGACAGTTCAAGACATCACGTTCATTGATTAGCAAAGTTAATCTGATACTATTCTACTACGGAAGGTTCAAACCCATAAGGTACCTATCCAGATGCGATAACATTCTGCCTGATCTCTCTATTGGTTCTGCATAGTCTATTGCATTAATTTTTATTCATGTGGGGGATTGTTGGAAAATTGGATTTGATTAATTTGTTTGACCAACTTTTGACCAATATTTTAGTGGGTCCCGTTAGTTGGATAAAATATTTCTTTGGCCGAGTGTTCTACTCCACGAGTAGATTAATGTAATGTATTTATTTTCTCAAAACCAATTTAGGGTGTGAGAAATTAAGGCCAAATTGTGACCACTAGAATTTGAAATATATTGAAATAAAAATTGGTGGGAAATTGGAAAAGTACCAATCTCATATAAGAAAGTTAGAAGAATATAAACTACTTTATATTGCTCAAGTTTGAGATTTGGGTTTGGGCCCCAAGGGGTACCAATAGTTTTTGAAGGGAAGAGAACCTACATGCCAGTAGGTTGGGTCAAAGCCCACACGCACGTGCCATCGTCGCTGTCCTTCCAATCAATCGGCTCGGCTCGACATTGCACGAGCATGGGTCACAGGCTTAGGCTTGGATTTGGATTCAAACTTGGGCCAAGCTGATATATATTTTTTAGTAAAATAATATTATTTTATTTTATTTTATTGTGATACGTGGATTCTTCTAGAAGGATAGTTGACAGTTGAGCTGGTCCAAACGGTTTGTGTCTGTTGAAGACACAACTTTTCGACTGTTGTGTCCTTTGAACACAATCTTTCAACATCTATAAATAGGGCCCCATAACCTCGGTTTCACCCACTTCAAAATCTATTTTGATTTAATTCCTTTTCCGATATTATTCATTTGTCTCTGCATTACTTATATTTTGCAATCCAACCTCGAAAAATAATTTTCGTGCATTTTATTCCTCCATCTCTGAGTAGGTTCGTCGGGTCTTATAATTTGTAATTCTACTATTACAAGTTGAGGTCGTTGTATCTTTGGAGACAAGTGCCCGAATACCGTCAGCACCAGTGCGAGACATTATCGTCTTATGGAGAAAGAGTTGAACTCTTGCCTCAACCATTAACATTTTATGGCATTCACTTTTTCATGTCGTTATTCTGCCCAAATTAATTCACGGTGATATTATTAATTGCCTACTTCCAACAAAACTTTGGTAGGAAAAAAAAGTTGAAAGTATACAAATTGCGCACCCGATATTATAATTTATAATCATGGATTCTTTTTATTTTTTGAAGCATAATTAATCCATTAATTGATATGACAACTTAACCAAAAATCATTGTTAATTTCTTGGAATAATCTCTCTTGTACACAAAGATCCATTGGTCCAGCTAATATGCCAACAAAGTCGTCCAACTTTGGCTAATTATCTCAAATTCTCAACCTTTTCTAAATAAAATTATATACAGACTCCCTCAATTTGCAGTCACACACAGCAGGGGGAAGCAATGGAAATTAGATTACTGCTATTGTTATATTCAATTTCTCTTCTGTGTTCTACTGCTATTCCCACTTCAAAGATTACACCTAGATTCCCTTCTTCCATTGTAGCACAGCCAGAAAATAAGCTCTCTTTCTCCACCAAAACCGAGCTTTACGATGAAAAATTCTTCACACAAATTCTTGATCACTTCAATTTTCATCCACAGAGTTATCAGACTTTTCAGCAAAGATATTTGATAAATGACAAATACTGGGGTGGTCCAAAGACTAATGCGCCAATCTTTGTCTACACCGGAAATGAAGGCGACATTGAATGGTTTGCTCAAAATACTGGTTTCTTGTTCGAAACAGCACCCCTTTTCAAATCTCTACTAATTTTCATCGAGGTAATTATAATTCATTTTACTTTTATGTTTCCTTCATAATTACTCTGTCTTCCGGTGAAAATTAGAATGTTTGAATTTTGCAGCATAGGTTTTATGGAAAATCTATTCCATTCGGGGGTGATAAAGAAAAGGCGTATTCAAATTCAAGTACACTCGGTTATCTAAGCTCAACACAGGCATTGGCGGATTATGCAACACTGATAATCGACCTCAAACATAATTTGACAGCAACTGACTCTCCTGTGGTTGTGTTTGGAGGTTCCTATGGAGGAAGTACGCTATTTTTTCCTTCTTTCTTTCGTATTTTGCAATTTTTAATGTTCAATGACATCGTAAAATCGATTGCCTTTTTCTTTTCATATCAGGAAATTAAACTTGCAATTTGTTTAATTTAACAGTGCTGGCAGCATGGTTTAGACTCAAGTACCCTCATGTGGCTATTGGAGCATTGGCATCTTCTGCACCAATACTAAACTTTGAGAATATTACTTCTCCATATAGTTTCAACAATATCATCACCCAAGATTTTAGGGTTAGTCTCTCTCATTGACTTCTATCTCTTGTTTTATTCTAGTTTCTTCTCGATTATTAGATACATCGTTGAGAAAAAGACGACTTTTTCCCGGATGAATGTAACAGGAAAATCAAAATATCGTTTTTACTTGTTCAATTGACAATTAAAGTGAAACGGTAAAAAAATCAGTCATTTACAATCACTGATGAAGGATTACTCGTGAAGTTAAGAATTAATAACCTTTTTTTAAAATTGATATAACATGAGAGTCAAATACATTTATCGAATTCTATCTAGCAAGTCGCGCTGCACGCGTTCTTGGTAATAATATGTGAATGTGACAATAATAGAGTGAGAGTGAGAATTGTTACAAAGTGATAAAAGGATCTTGGCAAGAAATTGAAGAGACAGCAGCAAAACCAGGTGGAGTGGAGATACTTAAAAAGGCATTCAGAATTTGCAAGTAAGATTTTTTTTTTAATTTGACCTTAATTATTAATTTATAATAAATGGGTTTTAATTATAATTTATATATGCAGAAATGACAGTGCAAATTCTCTTGAAGGTTGGCTTGAAACTGCTTTTGGTTACACTGCTATGACGGATTATCCAACGACTTCCAATTTTCTTAATCCATTGCCAGCTTATCCAGTCAAAGAGGTATCATTTCTACTTATAAGTAAATTAATTATAAGTAAAAAGGAGAAAATTATTAATGATTGTAACATGTGAGTATTTGACTTTAATTATGTTAAACAGATGTGTAAAGCAATTGATGACCCAAAGACGGGGAATAACACGTTCGAGAAATTATATGGTGCGGCCAATATTTATTACAATTATACTGGAAATGCCACGTGTTTTAATCTTGACGATGATTCTGATCCTCACGGACTTGGAGGGTGGGAATGGCAGGTACTAGAGTTTTTGTTCTTTCCTTTTAGTTGAAAATGACTAATCTAGGTAGAATGTGCCTTAAAGATACCCTGGTTGGACCAACATTGGCCTAGTAATTTCAGAGTATCAAAATTGAGTACTCTTTGTCACTATTTAACTTTTATATATGTATAGTTGATTTCAATTAAATAGTGGATCCCAATTATTTAGTACACATGTCAATTTTTTTTTTTTTTTTTTTTTTTTATAATTGTGGGTGTTCGGGGCAACTTGTGCGCACCTCGACTAATACCACGGGTCCTGAAATTTACGGTTGGGTACTCACATCAGTGGTCTGAGGGGACTCGAACTGGTGACCTTTGGAGAGCAAACTCAATGTCTGACCAATTGAGCAATCCCTCAAAGTTTTACACATGTCAATCAAATAGTGATAGAGTACATAAAAAAAAAATAGAAAATATTCTGTAAATGCGGTGTAGATTTAAATTTAGGACATTTGTTTGCTCTAATATCATGCTATTTATAACTTGTTTCAGGCATGTACCGAGATGATTATGCAAATCGATGGTAGCAATGCGGAGAGCATATTTCCAGAAAATGAGCCGAGCTACAACGACGGGGTCGAATTTTGTAATTATGAGTTCAAAATTGAACCCAGGCCCAACTGGATTACTACTGAGTTTGGAGGCCATGTGGGTATCTGGTCCAACTTGAAAACAATACAAATATGTGCTGGAATTGTGATGTTATGGTTTGGTTTAAATAATTTTGGTTTCTTGTACAGAATATTCACAGAGTTTTGAAGCGGTTTGGGAGCAATATCATCTTCTTTAATGGGTTAAGAGATCCATGGAGTGGTGGAGGGTAAGTTTTCTTGTAAATTTCCTCTGTTTGGGTTTCATTTTGCTGCTAAATTATGGTAATCCCATGCAAGTGTTAGTTGCTGACTTGGAAGAGTACAACTTTAGTTATATATATGACGACCATCATTTGTTGATTGGTCATGCTAGTGATTTTCGCTAGTCCAAGTGATGGAATTGGACGGTGCTACCTTATTGAAATCAACTTAATGTATAGTTGCACAATTGAATAAAATTGAAGTACAAATACTCAATTGAAATCAAATTATAATTACTTAATTAACACTAGAGTAAAAGTATAATTATCGCAAGAAATTTTTCCGCAAATTATCTTTCCCTTTAGAGCATATGCATATGCACGCACATTAATATACATGATATTCTTGTTATCTAAACTTATTGTTCATGATAACATGACAGGGTGTTAAAAGACATATCCAAAAGTATAGTCGCCATTGTAGCAAAAAAAGGTTAGTATATGAATCAGTTTAAAAAACTCAGAGCTTGTTTGTTTGGGATTCTCAAATTTTACAGTAAATCAATTCTCATTTTCAACCACACATTTTTCAATAAAATAATATTTTCCACCACATCAATAATTTTTCTTCTTTTTCAACCACACATTTCCCATCATATCACTATTCAAAAAGCAATTCTTCTCCCAAAAATCCCAAACAAACACTCCCTCACTTTGTTTTTGTTTTATAATGGTTGGTTTTATGATTACTCGAATGCTAATTGATTTATGCAAGATTGTCTCATAATGCTCGCATACAAGTTACGGGTATAAAAATAGCATGTGAAATTCCCTATAGATATTCAATGACAGAACACTCATTTAGTGGTGGCAAACAGGCCGAGCGACTCGTAAAAAATTGGCTCGTGGATGGCTCGGGCACGTCAAATGATGAGCCCGAGCTGAGCGGGCTAACTCGCTAGGTGAGCCACGGGCGAGCGGCTCGTGGGCGAGTCTTGGTGAAGGGTTAATTTTTTATTTTATTTTGAAAAAAAAATAAAAATTTACAAGCTTGCGAGCAGAAGCTCGGCTCAGCCCAGCCTACAAGCCACGAGCTCACAGGTCGAGCTCCACGAGTAACGAGCCGAGCTCGTGTGCATACGCCGGCTCGACTCAACCCATTGTCATCTCTACACTCATTTATCCCTTAATGAGTGTACATATTCAACAGTAGTTTCTATAGTAGTGATTGAAGGCCAACGTTTGAAACAAGTCGAAAATCTCATTTCTCTATGTATCTTGTATAATAACTGGTTCCATGATTACTCGAACTCTAATCGACTCGTGCAATGTTGTCTCATAGAGCTGCAAGCATACAACTTATGGGTTAAAAGTAGCATGTGAATTGCCTATAGATATTCAAGTTACATAGAAGTATGTACAATAAATTGAAATATTTACATCTCTTTCTCTCTAACGGGCCAAAGTGCACAACAACGGTGACATTTGACAGGTGCACATCACGTAGACCTTAGATTCTCAACAGATGAAGATCCAAAGTGGCTTCAAGATGTTAGAAGAAGAGAAGTCCACATCATATCAAAGTGGCTTTCTGAATATTATCATAGTTTAGCTGATTCTTCTAATTGGTAGGGTTTTTTGATTACACAAGCAATATTTTCAAGAACTCCCACTTCTTACACGTTTTAATAGTCCCTATCTTGTCTTCAAAAAGTAATGCTTTTTAAGAATGTAATTGNTTTCCGTGTTACCATATATCGACTTATTCGTATTTGCACGGCTAAAGAAATTCGGTATACGTCCACAACATTATCGACCCATTCATTTATATCCCCGTTGTAAAACAATCAAAATACCAGAATTGTTCTGATATCAATTGTTGTGAAACAAACCACCGGATTGAAATGTTAAAATTATATAACAAATAATAATGAAGTATATGATCAAGTAAAAGAATCATAAAGACAAGAATATGGTAGAGGAATTAAGAGATTTTATTGACTCAAAAATAATAGAGAAGAGAGAAAATTACAATGGATAATATAATTCTAGTAATCTATTTTTTCAGACCATAAAATTGTATAGAAGATCCTAGTATGTATAGAGAATAAGTATGGGATGTCCAAACCCACCTAGTAAAGTTGTTGATGAAGTATGATACTATAAAATTGAGTCCAAAATAAATTCCAACTCCCAATGGGCTTCCAAAATAGAACTTCAACATGATATATGACTCCAATAATATTCCAAATTTGAATTTTTCATGACGTACAATTCAATTAGAATTTTTCAATTACTTCAACAAGAAATTCGGGTCACACCCAAATTCTAACACATAAAATGAATAATTATTTTCATTATTGTGATTAACGACTAAAGTCTGATATATTGTCCGATAAATAAAAATATTCACCACCACATAGACTAAAAATATTCACCACCACATAGACTAGTAATCATTAGAAGTGATGATGAATAGTATTACTCCCAAAGCATTGACAGACTCCAAGAACGTCATTGGGAACCCTGGCTTTATCAGTGTTAATGGATAAGAGGGATTACGTCAACAGTTCTATCAGAATGTTAGTGGTGAAAAGTGGTTCGTCAACATTTTATTATCGGATCCATTTTTGGTGAACTTTATTTTAAATAATCCACAATATGAAGAACTATGAACAAGAAGTCCTAGGAACCATCCAATTATGATTGATAATGAACCATGCAAGTGACAATTTGGAAATGTGCGAGACTTTTGTTCAATGTGTTTATTGCCTTGTGAATATCAGAATATAATGAAAACTGAAATAATTTTCAGTCACATTTTTCTTTCAAAGTTAGGCCAAGAATAGGACAGGTCGGTCCATTTATTCAAAATACCCCAACATAGAAGAAAATAGGTAAAGGGGCCAAAGTTTGTGGACTTTATGCTATGGTGGAGTCACCATGGATTTGTTCCAACCACTAGTTTGCTGCAATATGCTGCATAATGAAATGTGCACGAAATTGATTCAAAATATATATCATATTCAAGTTGTTACACTATGAAATTTTTCTGCATAAGATTGTATTTAAATGCACAAATTAAGAAAGATGGAAGTATGAAGTGCAAAATTACAAGAAATGAACTAAATCTTCGAGTTGGGACTTTTATAAGCTAAATTCTGCTTCAAAGTTAGAATGTCCTCCATGAAGACTCGGTTCAAATCATGATGTACTTAAGACAGACAGTCGAATCGAGCTTGCTTCGTGGACACGACTCTGCTCGTGTGGACATAATGTCCTCCATAAAGACTCAGTTCAAACCATGATGTACCTAAGACATAGTGTCACGGGCAGCAGCTTTACTTAAGCCCCGTGACGCTATCGCAGCCGCTGCACTTCGGCTACACATTGTAAATATTTCATTTAATTGTAAAATAGTTAGAAATTAGATAATTTTAGTATGATTCCTCGGCCAAAAGACGTCTACTGGTGTCATTTAGATTTTTGTTGCTAAATCTATTATAGGGGGTATTAGTCTTTCAAAAATCTTTCAAACTTTCTAGTGTTCGCCCCCTGCACTAGCCATTGTAATTTCCTGCTTTTAATAAATTGTAATTTCAAGCTTTCTAGCAATCAATGATCAAGTTTAAGTCAATGCATTTCAATTTCGTGTTGTAAGCTTTCTTTAAATTGTGATCAAATTTACTTTCGTCCCGGAACGACCGAGAAAAGGCGGAAGGTGGTGTCCCTTTCTGTGCTAAGAAGAAAGGTAACATGTGAAAGTTGGTATCAGAGCTGCGACTCAAG